GAGAGAGAGAGAGAGAGATATAAAAAGAACCAACTTAACGCGTGACGCTCCTTTGATCAGAATTTTAATTAAATCAAGATGAGTGTATTATGCAACAGTCCCCATTTTCGTCGATTAAATATACATCCCGCTAAAAGATCACTTAGCATTCTCCAAATAAGTTTCTCTTTTCTCAGAAAAATCAGAATCTGAAAAAACGACACCATAAACATATTTTGTATATATATATATATATATATATGTATAACAGCAAATAATGATTTATTATCTTACGGCCACGTACATAACAAGCACACGCGCGCACTTACACATGCGATGAATCGGAATGAACATTGTATCATTAGTAACATACATAATATATACCATAGCACTTTGTTGCATTCGTTGTTCGAGATTTGCCACGGCAACAGGTTACACTACCACGAGTAGATCCAGCCGGTGGGTAGTCGCGCTACTGGCGATGTTATTGGCGAAAATTCACGAGCATCCTTCACTCCCTCTCGACGTTTTCCTCTCCGTGTGAAAGAGTCTGCGCGTAGGACGTCGATGGTCCATAATAGTGTGCGTGCTATTCGTCCTGAATACACCCATGAATAAGTGTATTTATGTGTGTGTGCGCGCGTGCGTTCGGTCCATATCATATCTGTGTTAATAGGATATCAAGGATAATGCTAATGTAAAGACAGGATGTGGGTATGTATAATTTTCATCTTTATTGCGATATATCTTACAATCACTAATTGTTTCTAAGCTCTATTCGGTATTACTAGACGTTTATCGTGCGTATTCATGATATTAATAAAAAAACTCGAATTTGATTCTCGATTCAGCCGACTTTCGGACCTTCAGATATTTTTCTCACCTATAGCTTTACAAGTGGGTTAAAGGGGAACACATAGAAATTAAAGATCTAAACCATAAAGATACTATTTCTAATAAAAAAATTATTTTCGCAATAACTGACGCAAAGCAGGGTTGGGAAAGTTACTTTGTAAAAATAATTAGTTACAGTTACAGTTATTTTATTGAAAAAGTAACTAGTTACAGTTACAAGTTACTGATTTTAAAAAATAACTCATTACAGTTACAGTTACTCAAAAAGTAACGAGTCGTTACTTTTCAGTTACTTTTTAAAAATAATTATACATTATTTTAAATATAAGGAGCTTACATTTTATGCACAATCACAGTCAAGTATTTAAAAAAATTCTTGAAGTAAATCGATCAATTATTACATTTAAGAATTTTTTTAAATATTTAACTGTGATTGGTCGATTTTAATTATGTGTTATATTATTTTATGTATACAAAATGAAAATTTTAGGTAAAAGATTAAATCATACGAAGATCCATATGCTACTGTTAACAAAATTTAATTTAACAATATAACGGCTACCAAACTTAAACGATACTTTTAGCGGATGTTTCCAAAAAAGTAACTAATAAAGTAACTGTTAAAATAGTTACTAGTTACTAAAAAAATGTAACTAAGTTACAGTTACAGTTACAGATGGAGAAAGTAACGAAGTTAAGTTACAGTTACCGAAAAAGAGTAACTGTAACTGTAACTTCGTTACAAGTAACTCGTTACTTCCCAACCCTGCGCAAAAGACATCGCGTTAGGCTCCTACAGCCGACATATTTATAAAATTATATGTTGATTTCGAGAGCTGAATAGTATTCTTAATATTATTAATCAAAATATTAGCTATAGAATGTAACAAAAAAGATATCAACATACTTTAAGGGTAACTAGGACATATCAAAATGATGAAAAAAGTTCTTATCAACGTTTGCAAATAATTCCCTATTGATAATTTAAATTATTTTTAAAGGTGAATCTAATAATATTGAGATGCAAAGTCCAGCCAAAAACCTATCCTGCAATACTTTGATGAGGTAAAGAATAAAGTCTTCTTGCTGAGTCTTTTATAATTCGCAAGACCATACATTAAATACATATCTGCTATATCTTTATTAGTTTCCATTAATAGTAATTAATATTAAATTGTACTTTTTGAAAAACTTTTTTTGTTTGGAACAGGACGATATCAAATGAAAACAAAACATAATCGAAACATTGCATTGTTTGCATTCATTTAATAATTTTAGCAATTAATTTAAGTATCAATAAATTTAACGAAGTCGCCAGTGATGAGTAAAACCATACAAGTTTATTAATATTTTGACCTAACTGGCCAGTACAAATTATGACAAACATTACGTTTCGACTCTCAGGTACGAGTTCTTATCAAGTGTAATTGCACAATAAAAAATGTATTGATGAAGATGCAAAACAGTTTTTCTAAATTTCTTTGTAAGAACTTTGTAAAAAAACTATTTCGCATCTTCATCAATGTACGTTTTTTTATTGTACAGTTACACTTGATAAGGACCCGTACCTGAGGATTGAAACGTAGTGTTTGTAATAATTTGTACTGGCCAATTAGGTCGAAATATTAATAAACTTATATGTATTAATTTAAGTTCAGAAGTTGTATAAGATTTATAATGATTTAATAGAAGATCATTTACAAACCTAATGTTTATAGGAATTTTTTATCATTTTGTACCACCTATTCTTAAAGTAGCAAATACCTCTTTTGTTGCACCCTCTATATTCCATCTTGTATTATTCATTTTTAATTCATTCAATACAAAAACGAAGCTGTTAGATTATGCTATTGAATTTATTATTGCGATTTACTATATTACTAAATAATTTGCTTCTGGTATCTTCCATGACTACTATAATTGAAGGATCCGGATCTGAAAGGAATCAGAGCATGAAAGAAGAGCTTTTACGCTTCCTTTTCTATACTTTGCCTGCGCACTTTTTGCAATCTTGTTCTTTAGAAAAGAAATTCCGCTGAGGAAAGAAAAATTGAAAAGAAACAGACATGGCTCTATCTCGTTTGATGATGAGCGTATATAGGTTCCGAGTCTGATCTTTTGATACGCGATAACGATAATGGTTTCAGCCAGCCTTTCTCGTGGAAAAATACTATAGTAGATATAAACAGTCCTAGCAGTAGCATATAGAAGGATGATTGCACGTCGGATAGATTGAATGGCACAAAACTGTTCGTTCTTAACTCGTTTTTAACTAGCTTTTCTTTAGACAGAGCCCTTTCTTTAACCGTCTGACTCTGAATGTCCTTTTTGCTCCATAACAGGGTTAAGCCGGCTTGATTTAGTTGACCGATCAACACGTTTATTGCTTCTTGCAAAATCGAATTCTTAGGCAGCAAATACGATAAGAAGAATGTACCTAATAGGATGTGATATTAATATGCGTGTCTGACGGAAGTATTATTATATACAACCCAAAACAACATCATGTCTAAACGGGACACAAGACTTAAAGATAACTTATTGACGTCTTAAGGGAATCCTAGCTAATCTTCAGTCTTGTTTTATCGACAAAATGTGAGATTAGATTTAGCTATAAATTTATTTATTGGTTATACGGATTGTTTTTTATTAGAAATTCTTAAATTCATAATTCTGCAACCTATATAGATATATTATATACATGCGAGGTGTGTTCAAAAAGTATCGCGAATTTTGAATTTCCGCGGGTTACGTATATTCGATTTTCGATTTTTTTGTGGCGTTATGTTGATACTCATGTTTCTCATTTATGCCGACAAGTACGGCCATTTTGAATGTTCAGTTAATTTTTGACAGCTGCTTTGCTTGCACGTGTTTTGGCTCGTCTTCGATTTTTGCCTATTCCAAAAAATGGATCAAAGAATCTGTATCAAATTTTGTGTGAAAAACAAAATTAAGTGCGCGGACGCATTCCGAATGTTGACTGTGGCATATGGTGAAGCTACCTTGGACCGAAGCAACGTTTATCGGTGGTACAAAATGTTTTCCGAGGGCCGAGAAGATGTGAACAACGAAGAGCGTGCCGGACGCCCGAGCACGTCAACAACAGACGAAAACATTGATGAAGTGAAGAAAATAGTATTGGTCAATCGTCGAATCACCGTTAGAGAAGTTGCTGAGGACCTAAACATATCGATTGGCTCGTGCCATTCGATTTTTACCAATGATTTGGGCATGACACGGGTCGCCGCGAAATTCGTACCAAAATTGCTCAATTTCGACCAAAAACAGCATCGAATTTTTGACCAAAACACAACACTAATAATGCCGCAGCCACCGTATTCCCCAGATCTGGCCCCCTGTGACTTTTTCTTGTTCCCGAAACTGAAGAGGCCCATGAAAGGACGACGCTACGCTGCGATTGAGGAGATAAAGACGGCATCGAAGGAGGAGCTGACAAGATCACAAAAAATGATTTTTGAAGTGCTTCGAGGATTGGAAAAAAACGTTGGCACAAGTGTATAATATCTGGTGGGATTACTTTGAAGGGGACAAAATAGATATTCATGAATAAATAAATAATTTTTGAAAAAACACAAAATTCGCGATACTTTTTGAACACACGTATATATATATATACACCTCGTATATGTATATAAGACTACATAGATTGATAAATCTTTTCCTGTACAAATCAAAATATTAACAAGACAAATTAAAATATTAATTCGTAGTAAGTCAAAGCTCTTATTAAATTATAATAAATTTGATAAAAGGCTGTTAAGAGCAGTAAATATAAAAAGTCAAATTATGTTTGAAAGAAAGTCATAGATAAAAATAATATTCTTTAATCTAATGTCTAATAATGAATTACAATAAAAGGTGACAAAAAGAATTAAACATAAGTACTCTTTAAATACAAATACAAAGCGAACGTTTCGGTCAATATTTTGACCATTATCAACGCTGATTAAATTCTGAATTTAAAAACTAATAAACGGTGTCATAACGGTAACATACATCAAGCAGAATCAAAAACGTCATAGAGTATGTAACGCATTAAAAATACAATGATAGATATAATGATTAACAATATTATGGTAAGAGAAAAAGAGAACATGATGTAAAATGAAAAGCGATATTCCTCCAACATAGTCATAATGTGATGGTTAAAATTCGTAAATTGTGTTTCTACTCCGGTTATTAGACCCGATAGACACATAATGATTTGAATCCTATACTGTTATTAAATAGTTATTGATTTATTTAAGCTTAATAGGTTGTACGAAAACGAAGATGTTTATAGACTTACATATGATTAGATTGCAACGTAAAACAGTAGTGTAGGAGGAACATCGATTCCTGAGATCCGCACACTTACAATGTCACAAACACAAAACAATCCGTATAGCCAATAAATAGATTTATAGTTTATCTAACTTTACATTTTGTCGATAAAACAGGTCAGAAACTCAACTGCTCTTATAATCCCTTTAATATTTTAATGTCTAAAAGAAATTTAAGTATGGATTTATAGATGATTAAAGCTCTACTTTAAAAAATAACCCACAGTAAATTTCAACTGTGATTGGAAAAAATTAGGACGAAGTTATTGTGGAAAGGTATACTGACGTCTTATGCTTTTAGAAGTTAAACATATCGAACGGCACTGCGACGCGGAAAACGATACAAAGAAAATATTATAAATAAATAATATATATAAATATATTAAATATATATATAAATATATTATTTGAACTTAATTTGAAACTTCAAATGCGTTTTTCTCAAAACAGCATTTTTAAAATCGGTGACCAAAATATCTCGAAAACCGCTGCAGATTGAAATAAAATTGGTAGACATCTTTAATACTAAAAATGTGCCCGATCCTTTTGTATTTTTTTTAAAATAAAAAAACGAGCGGTAGCAAAATCATACCTTCAAATTTGAACAATTTTGTCGCACAAAAAAATGAACGATTAGATAATCTTATATATTAACTAAATTTCTCTTTTTTGAGGTAAACCAGTTCAAAGTTAGAGTGGTCACCGCAAAACGCTTTTCAAAAAACTGCTTCTGGAAGATTAAGCATATTTTTTATTTATCAACATTTTGCAATAAAAAAAATACTAAATAATCTTTGAAATATATATACATAAATGCCTTTCCAAAGCACTTCAATAAAAAAAAAAATTCCCAAAAATACGTGTTTTTCAGAAGGTAGGTATAACCCCTTAAAGACATATTTTAATGTCTAAAAGACAATTTAAGTATGGGTTTACAATAGATGATTTAAGCTCTAAGCTTTAAAAAATTAACCAATCACAGTAGAGTATTTTCTTAACTGTGATTGGTAAATTTCTTAAAGCTTAGGACTTAATCATTTATTGTGGACCAGAGGTAATGACTCCTTTAAGACGTCTTATGTCCCAATTTTAGACGTTTTGTTGTCTGGAAAGTAATGTTTTTCCTTTTATACGTACCTGGACACTCCTTGACAAGATGAATCAACGAATTACCATTCACGTCGACGTATTGCTCGTTAAAAGCGGGGAAATAGTTTCCCTTTGCCAATCCCGAACCATTTCGATAATAAGCTGCATTTGGCACCGCGTTTTCGCCGTATCGCAATTTACTTCGCAAGCTTCGCATGAGCGTCGAATTGATATCGTCGTCAAAAATATCGTTCAGACTACGGGAGGCCAGTGCTATTGTCAATCCCGAAGTGTCGAGATCGCGAAGAGTATCAATGTCCGGATAATACATGTCATGCGCAAAACTGTTGTACAACAGACCAGTGAAGAAACCAGCCACAGTGATATTAGAGAGCAGAAGGCCCGACAATAATATCCTTTCGGAATTCGTCTTTGGCAACTTTTGAGGACAACCGGCGTTCAGTAAAATTGATCGGTAGATCATCGTGCCAAATCTTATTTTTTCAGTTCTGTAAACATAAACTCTTTACTTACGTCACATTAGATAATTAAGAAGATCTTAAACGTCGTCCTAAAAAATTTTTTTGTTTTTAACATAATTTTGGTTTTTAGCATAATAATTTCGGTTTTAACATATTTTATATTAAAATTTATATTTAAAAAGAAAAAAGTTTCACACTTTGTTTTATATGTACTTTAATAGTAGAAATGCATTTGTTATGCTATTCAACCAGTATCAAAAAAAGAGTGTGCAAAAATGTTTTATCGATAAAATATTATTTTTGTGCATTCTTTTCTTTTTATTGATTGAATTGAGTAATAAATACATATAAAAACAAAGCGCGAACTTACCAATTTTATGTTAAAAACAAAAAATATTTTTAAGTTAAGAAATTACAATTTTTTTTGTTCTTACCATAAAATCGGTAAATTCGCACTTTGTTTCTATATGTACTTTAATCGTCAAAAAGCATTTATTGTTCTATTCAACCAGTAAAAAGAAAAGAGTGTGCACATAAAATAATGTTTTATCGATAAAACAGCGTTTAGGATCCCCTTGACGAGTATCGTACCTTCCTGGAGTGAAGATTTGCAGAAAATACCACGTTAGGTACACAAAGGTCTGCGACAACATGGACACGATCCAAACTGAGAGCGGAAAGAAATGGTACATTCGAACTCCCTTGGGTATCTTCTTCGCTTTAGGTACAATCACGCATATTCTGTCGAAGTCCATGTACACGCTGAAGTATACGTCCTCCACGACACCGATACTGTATTTCTTTATGAAAAAGGATTCGAAACAGATGTCCGTTCTACCGTGTACTACGTCTCCTGTGTGAGCCGGCTATTATATCGTGTATGACAATCAAAAGAGGAGAGAAGAAACAAAAACAAGGGGAAACTAACTAAATATACTAGGTGCGAATTATAGTTCCAAAGAGATATTATTTTATTAGTATACCTATAGCACCGACATATGTCCCGTTGGATAATTGATAACCAAAGGATTGTTTATCTGTCGGAGGTATTAGTTTCGCTGTGAAATTCATACGTTCAGCTATCGTATCCAGCATTATTTCGTCGAGTCCTTCGAAAATAAAGGTGGAATTGTAATGTTTAACTTCTCCCTGCCTTTTGTCCGTCGATTCGTCTAGCGAGAACAAACCCGTTCTCAATTCGTATCCATTCATATTACTCGTACGAGAGTAGGTTAAATGAGACAGCAGACTCGATGCCTCTTCCGCCGTTTTTACATTTATAATTTCAACTCGACCGTATGCTGAAAAATCAAGCCAACATCTTTTTGTCTTTTTTTTAAATAATGATCGTGATGTTTTTCAATTTTTCGTCATCGATTTTGTAACATCCCAGATAGCACAAACTATTCGAAAAGAATTCATTTGTATGTCACCAATTTTGAGTCCCTTTTCAAATACATATTTTGATAAAATGAATTTTATATGTATTGGAAAGGGACTTTAAATTGGTGACATACTGGTGACATACAAATGAATTCTTTTCGAATAGCTTGTGCTATGTGGGATCCCAGATAGCAAGTATATATATGTATATATATATATACGTTTCCAGAGAGCACAGTATGTTCAATTTTGGTTTTTATTTAGTTCATGAATATAATATGAATATCTATTATTAGACATTTAAAGTATATTTTTATATTAAACATTTTAAAAACGTTTATTTTATGTACTCACAGCACAGGACATTTCAATTGCATTACAACAATATTACAATTTTACAAGTTGCAAGGTAATATTGAATATTGGAAAGACATTATATATAAGAATATTTATGTAATATTTTATGTACTATTTATGTAATATTTTATGAGAAAAATTACAGTACTATTCCAAAAAATTATTAAAAAAACAGTAGTCGCCAATTAATCATTTAGTTACTTTAATTACCACTATGCAACGCACGATGCGCTATTTTTCTCGTATTTATGATTCATTATGAGAATTATATATAAATAAGCTTGCAAAAAGCTATCATTAAGATTAAAGTAACCGGATATCCGAATATTGCAGTAAAAAAATGAACTTACACAGTTTCAACGAATTTTTTCTTGTCTCGTTTGAATCTGCAATCTTTTGATGCTGTATATAAGATACTAAAATAGGTATATACAATACTCTATATACATATATTATATATAGACTATTGAATATACCTATTTTAGTATCTCATAATTCTTCACAACTTACATCTATCTACTTTAAAAAATATGTTCAATGTCATTGTGCTGTCTGTTATTTTAACGTTGAACGACGTCATTGGACGTCAAAATAAAGTTATTTTGACGTTTAATGACATCATTCTGACATTTAATGACGTTTAATGATATCAGATTCCCAAATAGCAAACATACACGTCATTTTTAATGACGTCAGTTTGCTGCTTATTGGGATATGTTGGACAAACTACGAACCAGAATCGTTGACTTTGGCGAAGGGATTGTAAGTGCGAACAGTTGAATCGATTCGAGCGTCGTCTACTACAGCAACCAAGACGCTTTGTACTTTACGCTTAGACCACAACGTCTTTAAAACGCCGTCGAGCCTCGGCTTATTTAGCGTCTCCTCTTGGCAAGCGATCAGTACGATGAATCGATCGCGCGGCTTCCACTCGAATTTCGAATTGTCATTCTTCGAGATTTGATCGAAGGAGCGAACATTTTTTACAAGAATCACGTGTACGTTCCACGTATTCTCTCCGAAGGAGTCTCTGTTGTAGCTTCGGAACCTCACAGTCGCCGTGGGCGTCACAAGAAAGGGAAGTTCATCGTCGGATGTGATCTTTGAGATCGATAATGGTTTCGCGACCCTATAAATTACGTCGTTATTATCGATAAAAGACGTATAATTTTCCATGTCGGAAAATACATAAGTCCTCAACATAGTTGTTATCGCGCATTTACGCGGGATACTGTGTGCGAAAGCCTCGAAGCATCGCTCGAGCAGGATCGAGTTTCTGTTATTATCGAGGACGCCGTGAAAGTGAATGGTTTTGGAATTTTCCATAGAACAGACGACGCTGCTCCAAAATTCCACGGCGCTACACCATCGGCAATCATTGCCTGGTACAGGTGTGGGTAGAAATAACAACGTTACGAGGACAAATTCACGAATCGACTGCAAATAAAAGTTGCTTGGATTTACAAGTGGCGATGGAGAAAGGGAAGAGATAAAAAAGAAAAAGAGAGAAAAAGAGTTTATATATATATAAATTCTATTTTATCATAAAAATGTATCAACATACCATGTTTGTGAACTTTATTGAAGAAGGACGAGTGTTCTCTTATTTATACGATTTAATACTGACACCGGATCCCTCTTGTTGAGTTTTTCCTCATATCAAGTATCCTCGACATATACAGTCAAATCATACATCATTCATCCTTATCGTTACCCTTTGTTGACCTTCTTTTTCAACTATCGTGTCACATTGGACAGGTGTCCTCGAGAAATGCTCGCTTGAAGGTTTGAACTCGCATATGCTTACAAGGATCATAAAAATATTGTGCTTTTTTAGATTGTAGATAAGACCTAATGAAGATAAACCTATCGTCCATATTATTATTTATCGTTTTTCCGATTCGTCGAGAAGGGGTCACAAGATCAATCGCATTTTTATGTCGACTCATAAAATATTTCTAAAGGAATTGTATTTTATTACAACTAAAATATTACATTTAAATAAATTGTAATACATATTAATATAAAATAATATATTTCACAAATCGTCGCACATAATTCACATATTTCCACAACTACTAAATTATTAACAAAAATCAATACAAGGTGAAATGTAAATGAATTGTATAACATTTTATTTTTACCAGACGCGTGCATTATTTGAAATAGATGCATTTAAAATGGAAACAAAATGCGCGTACAATGCCAATTTTGCATTTCAAATACATTTTTTCAAAAAACTATTTTACATTTTCATTTAAATTGTTTTTATTATCCATCTTCTATTTCAAATGCGTCTTTCTTGCAAACTAAAATTTAATCGAGATATAATAATATGTACAATAATGCAACTAATACCACGTTCTCATTATTCTGGCATTACTGGTTCTAAATGAAATATGAAAGGAAAATGGGAAATTTCCTCTTTAAAAAATTTATTTTTCTAAAAGCACGTTCCGCTACTAAAGAACGTACATTGCAATCAAAATGCCATTTTAAAAGAATAACTGAATGTCTGTGAACAATATATTGTATATTGTTATCTTATATGTAATTCAATTTTCGTAATTCAAGTATTTATATTAAAAAATAAGAATTTATTATTATTTCGTATATGTAAATAGGAAATAATAATAAAAACACAAATATAATAAAAAATAAGAATTTAAATATAAATAAATTAAATATAAATAAATTAAATATAAATATAAAAAGTAAATATTTAAAAAAATATTTAAATAAACTGAAGTCGCCAGTGATGATTAAAACAACTCTTAATTTATTCAGTTCGACCAAACTGGCATATTACAGAAATAACAAATTATCACGACGTTTCGGCCATCAATTACTGGCTCTTATCAAGTATATTTAAATGAAGAAAAAATTACATATTAGACTCAAATTATTGTTCGCGCCTATACATAGCGATGTTAATAAAACAAACACTGTGAACATAATAATGCATTAACGTCGTCATAATTTGTTATTTCTGTAATATGCCAGTTTGGTCGAACTGAATAAATTAAGAGTTATATTAAAAAAAAGTATTTTTATTTTACAAAACTATTTAAAAAATATCTATTATCCATTTTCTATTTTAAATAAACGTCTAAAGAGATTACATTTTGCAATTTTAAATGAAAAGATATCAACTGTTTTGCATTTTCTATTTTAAACGGGACGTCTATTTTGCACATCTCTGATTTTTATTATAAGTATATTTTGATATACCGGAGAAATTAATAGAATCATATTAATTCTTTTTTATTTTCTTTCAATTCATTTTCAATCAATTTTATTTTATTTATTTCCTTGACGATGACAGAAATTGGAGGAAAACACTTTTATTCACAACATGAAAATCAACATAGCACACGGGAGAATCGTTGCGTTATATAACTATAAGCTTTTAACTTAATGACACGTCGGAAGCTTGACGTTCGTGAAGTGAAGCAAACGTTTGCTCAATATATACCTGAGGTAAACATAAAGGTAGCATAAAGGATAGAACACAGCAATGTTCTCTTTAACTAGTAGAAAAACTGAAATGCTAAGCGGATTGTACGAATATGTATCGTGTCATGTAATATGATCGTGTATCTTTTATTGTATTTTTACCCTTAATGAAGTTTCTGTTGCCAGTGAAAATTTATATATGTATACGCAGTGCGATGAGAAAAAACAATTGCTAGCTCCGGGGATAAAATTTCGCGCGCAAATTCAAACAATCCGGTATATCAGATATTGATCTTTTAACAGTTTGTAAGAGAAAAAAATACATTATCGGAATTATATATATATATATATATATATATATAGGAGAAAAAGTAAATGCATATCAGCTGTGTCGATTCTTTCGTTAGAACGCAAAGAAGACTCGAACAAAAATAAAGGAGATTGGTTTATGTTTTTCATAGTTTTTCTCATAAGATGCTTTCGCAACACTTTATGGAACATTTATTTTCTATGAAATGAAAGTAAAGAGAGGAAAAGTATATATCAGTAAATTTCAAACTTCCTGGCAGGAAGAGTCGTCAATCTTGCTCGATCTTGTACGATGATGCTTTATTCGTGAACTCCATTTTAATGTTCTTTCGAATTGCGGTGAATAATTTACGACGTTTTCCCATCTTCTATCGTGTGATTGTGAAACTTGGGTGATAATTTATGTAGATATACTACGTAGCGCGTGAAGTTGAGCTCATCAAAATGCAATAAAATATAGCGCTTTTGCGCCGCAATTAACCTCTCATTGACCTTTTTTTTATCTATGAGCTACAACACGCCCACGATTTCTATCTACTACGCAGCGCGATAGCCTTTCGACAAGTCTTTCTTCTCTTAACTATGTATGACTTTCTTTAACTATGTATGCGGACTCGCATTTACGTATATAAAACTCGGTATTCTCGGTGTTTACCAACATTGTTCATAAAACAGATCAAGTACGTTCGCGTGGAATACGACTTGACATTTTTGAATGAGCAAGCAGCTTCCATAATGTCGTCGACAATAATACAATTTTACTTAATGATGTTGACGGCGACAAAAAGCATGACAGACGCGTACAGGATCGCGTCGACGGGATCGACAGAAAGCGAAAACCTGAAGATAATTTTGAATTACATTCGAAGCAATCAGGAATTTTGCCCATCAACATTTTCTCTTGTTTTTCCCGACATTCGATCCAGCTTTGTAGATCTCGTGTCCAAATACGTAGCGAGCGAGTCGATTGTCAGCTACAAGATCACGATAAATGACCTCATCTTGCATAGATACACGTGGCAAAATCGCGTCGACCTCACCTGGATCTTCATCGTCGACGATATCGATGTCTTGCAATTTTTCGTGCGTGAACAGAGCTACATATGGAAGGCCACAAATCAGTATTTGATGATCATCACCGCTCCGATCTCATTGGTATCGTCGCCCGAGCTCTTTCAGACTATTTGGAAAACTTACAACGTCTACAAAATCATCTTCAGCTTGATGCAAGACGATTTTCGATGTCTGAGCGAGTATCTACCCTTTGAAAAGAATGGGCAGAACGAATACGGCGTCGTGCGCAATATCTGTTTAACGAATTGTACAAGTAACATCGAGCTTTATACGAACTTCGAGAATCTAAATGGATATCCTATATCCGTAATCGTGTTTCGGTCTCTGACGATGAACATTACATTTGACGAGAATACGAGGACACACAAGTACAAAGGACTGGACGCGAACGCGATGTTTCTACTAGAGAGATCAATGGGGGCCCAATTTCGCATCACTATCGTATTCGCCAACTTCACTGAGGGAAAGAGGCAGGACCCCTTTCATCGTAGTCTTCAATGTATCGAAAACGGCAAGTCGGAGATAATCGTTACCAGTTTCTTTATCCATGAGTATAAGGAGTATCAAAGATATGAATTTACATCCAGCGTTTACGAGGACAAATTGTGCCTGATCGCCCCCACAGCTGGCTTCATCCCCAAGTATTACATGCCGATAATGCCGTTCGCGCCTGATTTGTGGGCGGCTCTCGCGATTTACAACGTTCTCGTATCCGTCTTGTGGTTCCTTATCAAGTACTACAGCGGATCATTTCGCCGGCAAGAGATCGTTCTTCTTCCCTTAATGAAAGCGGAATTTGTCCCTTCGCGGCGTGCGAATAATTTACCATCCAGTGTACACCCTTACATCGCGTCGTGTTTCGATCTCGTTGAAACCTCGTGTTATCCGTTGAAGGAGGACGTCGGAGATCTGAGTAACACGAGCGCGTCTCAGCGTGCCTTGCTGTTCGGTACTCTCTTTTTCGGACTGATCGTCGTCGGCCTTTACCAAAGCTATCTCGTGTCCGGCTTGAGCAATCCTTTCCATTATCCGGAGCTGAACACCCTGGAGGACGTCGCCGACTCGAATTTTACCATAGTTACCAAGTATTACAACTTGCAGATGCATACTTTCACGGGGAACACCACTTTGAATAAGAAGCTACGCGATAAAACAAAGATGATAGTTTCAACGAACCGATCAACGACAGGGTGGCCTTCGGCAGGAAGGAAATAGCTATCGCTCGTTACAGTTCGGTGAAACTCGGCGATTGGTCCAGGTACTACGATTTTTGTTTCTTTTTTTATTGAGTAAAATGCTAGCTTTGGCCTTATAGTTTTGATAGTACAGAAAGTCTTCTTATTGACTAGAGGTTGTATGCTATAAGATTTAGTTAGAATGACAAGGGTTGATACGATTCCTTACATAAAAAAAGGAATTATAAACTTTATTATTGCTTTATATCATACAAAAAATTAAAAACTTAAGATAAAGACTTAAGAAATTAAACGTAAATGAGGCCTTGTTTTGATTACAAAATCTTAGATTATAAAAGAACAAGTAAAATTAAACATCTACTTATCTATCACTGAAAAAAATTATTTAACAAAATCTGCGGTTGAATACGTGCAAATAAATATCAACGTAATAAGAACTAAATATTTTGTTAAAAATAAAATATTTAGTTTTTATTACATCGATATTTATTTGCACGTATTCGACCGCAGATTTTATTAAGTGCAATAATTTGTTTTCAGTGTATAAACTAAGTTATGCTCAATATATAGGGTATCTCATAAGAAATTACTAAAACTATAATGAGCTGTCATTTTTTAATGCATACAGTTATTGAGAAAACAAAAATTGTGTTAGAAAGAGGAAAGTCTGCAGTTTTTAATGGATATAAATAAAATGTTTGTATACCAGTTTATTTTATTTGAAAAAGTTAAAAAAAAGTACTTTAATAATCACATATGTAAACTAACGATAAATATTTTCAAAGGGCGCACTATTTGAATTTGTACAAAATTCTGTTCCTTTACGAAAACTCGTAAAAACTTTTTCTAACATGTCATTTTTAATGTTACTGACGATTCTTTTAATAGTTATTGCTATTCTAAATCTAGCACTGTTGAAAATATTTATCATTAGTTTATGTGATTTTATGTGATTATATATTAGCACTTTTTTCTTTTTATCAACAAAATAAACTGGTATACAAACATTATTTATTTATATCCATTAAAAACTGCAGACTTTTTCTCTTTAATACAATTTTTGTTTTCTCAATAACTGTATGCATTAAAAATGACAGCTGATTACCCAGAAAACATTTTGCGCGCAAATACCTAGCCATTGCACATACAAAAGCGGCTCGTACTGCGCAATCAAAATCTTATCCTAGTGCGTCGTCATAATGATAGCAAATGCTAGCACACTTTTCGCGCGATCTCATCTCGTTATAAGCATGCACGTTGAGCATATTCAACAAGCATATTGCACGCATTATCACATCACTGGCATATTTTTGACAATTTGATATCCATTTGCACGTGATTTGCTGGTGTATCAAATTATACCCCATAAGTTTACTATTGCAATATGTATGACTAAACATATCCCACATGCAAAACTCAGGCAAATCTCGTACACAGTTTATATGTATAAAACGCGCAAATTTTACACAGAAAAATTGTTATCTGGGTTAGTTTCAGCAATTTCTTATGGAGGACACTGCATAAACTTAAATTACCCTTTAATAATTATAACATATAACTACCAAATCAGGTACTACGACGTGGATGGCAACGAGTTACTTCATCTAGTGGAGGAATGCCCCATCACTTACTCGTTGTCCTACGTGATGAGGTTATATTCACCGTATCGGGAGAGGATCAACGGATTGCTGTTGCGAATGCAGGAAACGGGTCTGGTTAATCTCTGGTATGAAAATATGGCGTATTCGACATATGTAGCGGAGCAGAAGAGGAAGGTGGACAAGAGTGAAAGAAAAATTAAATTGACTTTGGAGTATTACTCGCTTACATTTGTCGGACTTTCAATCGGTTTATTTTCCTGTACCCTCGTCTTCTTCGCGGAATTATATTTCGCCAAGAAATCGCAGTCACGCGTAAGAGCGGATGAACAGAGTAATTGATCCAATATCGAAGAACTGATTTCTCTGCTTCCTGCTCCCGCTGTCCTTTTATATTTTAATATTACATTAAGGATGCGAGATATGTATATATGTATAAGCTTTAACTCGGCAGCACAATAATATTTTAAAAACGTATTAAAAATATATACATATTCGACGTTTTATATTTAAAACATCCAAATTAGAACACCTTATTATTATAGACATCTTTGGGAGATATTATTATAGACATTTTAAAGATGATATCCACAGTGTTTTTTGAACAATCTGGAAAAATATCCATTTTAAGAACTAAACAAATGAAATTTGAATATCGTATTTTTTAAAGTAGATAGATGTAAGCAAAATATTGTATATACATATATACTTGCTATCTCATATACATATATACTTGCTATCTCATATACAACATCAAGAGATTGCAGAAATACTGCAGATATTCAAAAGAGATAAAAGAATATTTGTTGGAACTGTGTAAGTTCATTCTATTTACATCCGTAATACTCGGGTATCCGGCTACTTTAATCTTAATACTCGCGTTTGCAAGCTTTATATATATATAATTCTTATAACAATGTCTCTCCAATATTACATTACAACTTGTAAGATTATAACATTGCTGCAATGTAAATGAAATATTCCGTGTTGTATGGGTACGGTAAAATAAACATTTCTAAAACATCTAAATATAAATATACCTTGAAAAAACATCCAATTATGGATGGACATTCTTATTAATATGTTATATTGGATTAAATAAAAATCAAAACTGGACGTTTATTACTTAGACTTTCGGTGCTGTCTGGAAAATGTCAGATCAATATACGTATGTACACGTCTACAATTCATACTGTCAAAAACATCCAACAAAAAATATACAAAAAATTTTTTCCAGAGAGAAATAAAGTATATATTATAAATTAATTCTTTAATATGTGTTAAACTGAAATTATATAAAACTCGAGCAACGTTTTATTATTTTATATTACCATAAAACAATGATTTGTGTGCAATTGTGTTGCAAAATATAAATTATACATTAAGAGGTTAATATTATATAATTTTTAATGTCTTTATTAAAGAAGATATTTATTTATATTAATAGTTTTCCTCATCAATTTTAGAAAATTTTTAAATATTAATATTCCTTGTAAGAAATAAAAAGACATTTTATAAACAAGCATGCAAATTTTTCGAACAAATAAATATGAATCATTCAGAAAAAATTAAAGTATTATAAATTAACCCATTAATATGCAAAATCCGAGTTAACTCGGGCAACGTTTTATTGTATATTGCCATGGGAAAAAATACTTTTTTGATATTTTATTGCAAAAAATTATGCATTAATATTTTGTACAATTGTTGTATCTTTAAAGAAAATATTTGTAATTAATATTTTTTTCTAATCAATTTTGTAAAATTTTTGAACGCTAATGTGTTCTGTAAGAAACAATAAAAAAAGAAATAACATAAAATAAAATATAAAAATTTTTAGCTAAAATATAGGTATCCAATTTTATTTTATTTTATTTTATTTTTGACAAACTTTGCTAATAAAATTGCTGCAATACACCATTTTTTATAAATCTATGGCAAACATGAAAATTAAATAACTGACCAAAAAATTGTGCTCAGATTTTGCAAATATTTAAAAAGAGCAAATAGAACAATATATACGAATTTTGTAATATTTATATTAATACATTTTTTATACAGCCTTTTAATATACAAAGCTGACGTTAATATAACTTTATTTATTTTTTAAAGTTTGCCCCGTAAACTTTTTTAACGATGTTGGTTGTTTAAACCTGACACAAATAATTTGGAGTCCTAGATTAATTACAGATGAAGACTTTTATATCTGATAAAAAGACCCGATATTATATTCGCTTTCGCGTGACAATACTGTATTTATATGTCAAAATGATTCGATCAACGCAGCTGCTTTATTCACAGAGCGGGTTTGAGTTTGATTAATTGAGCAAAATATGAACTACACATGTTCCCCTTTATTATCGAATTTTGGCCATATTCTTTATTATTCGCCAAATATAATTAATTATTCGAACTAACGACGATTGTGCGAGTTAGCGTTAAAGCGACATTCTGAAAACTAGGTTTATATTAAGATTCTCAAAAATAGGCGCACATGTACCTCCCTTTCTCTTGAAGAAACTCAGTCGTAGGTTGTTGCTCGATTATATAGTCATGGCTTCTCGAAGATACGTAACATTAGCGGCGATTCTAATTATTATCTGTTTAGGTACGTATATATATATATATGTGTGTGTGTGTGTGTGTGTGTGTACAGAATGTAATTGAACAAACATATACGGAGCACACCATAAAATTATTTAGTCAATTTGGAGACGATTTTTCCTCAGTGAAAATGACGAAGCACTAATGATTTTCAAGTATCAATGATTAAAAAAGAAGGGCTTCTTACAAATTAAACCTTATAGAGTTAAAATATTAATTGCATTCTTCAGTTAATTTCAGGTAGAGTGTATTTTAATAGAATTTTAATTTTTACGGGGTGTCTCATAGGAAATTGCTGAAATTAATCAGCTGTTATTTTTAATGCATGCAGTTATTAAGAAAACAAAAATTATGTTGGAAAGAGGAAAGTCTGCAGTTTTTAATGGATATAAATAAAATGTTTGTATACCAGTTTATATTTTATTGATAAAAACTAATGAAAAAAGTGCTATAATTTTTAATGAATATAAATAAAATATTTTTATACCAATTTATATTTTATCGATAAAAGTAATGAAAAAATGCTATAATTTTTAATGGATATAAATAAAATGTTTGTATATCAGTTTATTTTATTAATAAAAAGTAATGAAAAAGTGCTAATAATTACATAAAATTACATAAACTAATGATAAATATTTTCAACAGTGCCAGATTTAATAACAACTATTAAAAGGATCGACAATAACATTAAAAAAAACACGTTAGAAAAAAATTTTACGAGTTTTCGTAAAAGAACAGAATTTTGTACAAATTCAAATAGTGCGCACTTCGAAAATATTTATATCATTAGCTTAGATATATAATTTATTTTTATTACTTTTTAAAATAAAATAAACTGATATACTTACAAACATTTTATTTATGCAGATTTTCCTTTTTACAACACAATTTTTGTTTTCTGAATAACTGCATGTAGTAAAAAATTACAGCTAATTAGTTTTAGCAATTTCCTGTGGGACACTCTGTATAAGATGGCAAAAATTGAGAATATGCAAAAATGATGACTTTCTTCGACATTTCTGCTGAGGCAAAATCGTGTTCAAATTACTCACAGAATCTGATATTAGTGATATTGATATAGTGTGCTCCATATATGTTTCTTATTCAGTTCACCCTGTATACAGCGATGTCCGGTATTAATTATTTCACTCATCGTGTGCAAGAGCGGATTAAATCGAATAGGAAAGTCCTCTATCGTTTTGCGCAATAATTAATGAGAAATTAATTAAAAAAGGCTCGATCAATCTTCGCGAGTTTTACACGGTTGCTAAAAAGAATAAGTTATGTTTCGCGGTTACTACACGTGTGCTGGGATGAATAATCAAGTTTAATTATATATTGCGCCTAGCAGCTGTGTAACATAATGGGATGTCTCTCTTCTCGTCCTATGCTTCTATTTGAGATGATTGGCCGATCTTTTTTAATTAATTTCTCATTAATTATATGCAAAGATCACAAAACTTTTCTATTTAATTAAATCCTCTCTCTACCTACATACGATAGAAGGATAATTATTACTGAACACGCTGTATACATACATAGAGTGCTTACGAAATGAACAAATTTTTAGAGCGATTTTTCACGTCAATAAAAAAATGTAAATCTCTCATTTTTAATAATGCATTAATATATTTCAAATACTAAGTCCTCCATCAAAAAATGTTTCATACGAAAGTTTTTTGACTTCGGAGAAGACATAAGATGGTGTCATTAGATTAACCTTGGATAGTCGTTTGCATGAAGATCATCTTCAATTTCTTAAGTGAAAACCTCTATTTTTTAATGCATATTCTTGTAGCTTATCTCAAGCTTTTCAAAGCACTATAATCTATAATAAAGTATTTTGTAATTAAGTGCTTTTTAAGTTATAAAATTTAAAATTACCAATTTTTGACATAAAATGTAAAATATCTAGTAAAATGTTATTTTGGTAATTTTACCTTAATACTATTATGCACTGAATAATGAGGCCAATCAATTAGAACAAAGAAATAATTGCTAAAAAAATAATGCAATTGCAACATACAACTGCATACTTTTTCTAAAAGTAACTATGTGTTTTCTTTACACTAATTGATTGGTCTCATTACTTCATGCGTAAAAGTATTACAACTCAAAATAAGTACTTAATGAAAGAATATTTTATTATGTTTTAAAAAGCTCTTGAAATAAACTACAAAAATATATGTGTAATGAGATATAGGAGTTTCCAATTAAAATTTTTATGTTGACCTTTAAATGACCTCCAAATTTGACCTCTAGGTCAAAGTCTAGGTCACCATCAAATGACCCCCTCGAAATCCTACAACTTTTGTATGAAACATTTTTGAAAGAGAAGCCTTGATTTTTAAATATATATGTATATATATTAATGCATTATTTAAAATGGACAGCCTGCGTATATATACAATATTCGAAATAAGAAATGAGTAGTTTGAGTCAAATAAAATTTATATATAGCATAGTAAAACAAAGGTTTATGATATATTATTAATAAATATCATAACATATAATTGTAAACACTTAACTTATAAGAAATGATAATAATATAATAAAATATTTTTGTATATCACAGTTATTATTTTATTGAAAAAAAATAATTAAAAAAGTGTTAATAATTACACAAAAAAATCACATAAACTATAATGATAAATATTTTTAACAATGCCAGATTTAATACCATCTATTAAAAGGATCGTCAATAATATTAAAAATGACTTGTTAGAAAAAAAAATTTTTTTACGAGTTTTCGTAAAAAAACAGAATTTTGTACAAATTCAAATGGTGCGCACTTTAAAATAAATATTTTTCATTAGTTATG